TCTTTTGTATGGTACTCTTTTTTTCAACATTCCTTTCTTCAAGATTGTCTTTATACTTCTGAAATTCCACTGTGGTAGATTCTGACACATTGTGAAATGGCTGTTTTAGTGTTATAGCAGGTTAAATTTCATATACCTATCAGCAAAAAAAAAAGTGATAAGAAAAACTGGGCATTTAGATCTATCCTAATGGGATTTATTCACATTTCTTAGTGAGTCAATTGAGAGATAAAAATAAAGGACCTTGGCGGGAATACGATGGTGGATTCCTTTGACAGCGCCACCTGGACAGAACCCTGTTACTGCTAGACCCCAGAAACATGATGAGTTTCTAATATTAGTGCTGACAGCTACTTTTTTCACAGTAATATGAAACCAAAATTATCTCAAGAAAATTTGTATTTTTATTTCAGTAACGCCTGGTTAATGTCACTATTCTCAGCCCTCAGCCAGATCGCCTCAGTTCTCCAATACAGCTGTAATACTTGATCTTCTCATTGACTGCATGTTTTAGTCACTTACTCTACGTATATCTACCACATGCCTATCATTTTCAAGGTTTGCGTGAATAAGATAATGTGGGCAGAAAAGACAGAGTCCCCACCCACCATGACTTATATTGGGGAAAGGGTAAGAAAAACATGTACAATGATAAGAATGCAAGAGCAAAGTGCCAGTATGACAGTCATAGAACAGATGTCATGAGGAAGTGTGTGATTTATTTCCAAATGGGTTTTCTTAACACAAGTACTTTGATTTAAAGGCAGGGAGTTTACAGCTGACTCGAATGATCAGGGGAGGCTCCGTGCAGGAGGCAGAGCTTGAGAGAGCATTGAAAGATACGAAGTATTAGGATAAGCAGAGAAGGCAGGATGGCGTGAACCAAGGCGACGTTTCTCAAAGGCTCTGTACCACTGCTGATGTGCCCAATTTACAGACGTGACATAAAATGATATTGAACCACAAGGTGAGAAAGTTTTCTCTTTCCAACTGGCTTTCAATACTTTTATTCAGGAAAAAAAGTCCTCAATTTCATGCTAATGTATCTTTAATCCCTTGCTATACTTGCCAGTTAACTATCCCTCTTCCTTCCCCCTGTTCTTTCACACATAGCCAGTAGGGCCCCAGGCTCAAAGACGATGGCAGACAACAGTAACTGTAATTCAAAAACGGGACTCAGATTGCATTTGTCTTTTAGTTCTCTTCACCTTACAGAAAGTAATGCTAGATTTCCATTCAAAAGTGTGATATGAAATGTTTTAATCAAATCAATATATTAAGGGAAAACAGATAATCTAAGGAAAAATGGAGGCAAATAATAGAACACATGTTATGTAGCTAGGGCAAAATTTGTTTGGGCAGTGTATGAATTTCGGAAAACACAGTGCCAATATAAATTATACTTAAGATGGTAAGTAGTTCCGTATGATAACCAGGAAAGTCATGATGGAAAGAAGCCAGAATAAGATTAGAAAGACAGGTTGTGAGAAGATCAAGGAGATCAGGGGATACTCGACTCATCAACTTAATTCATGTTCTGCCTTCTCTTGGGATTCCAGTAGCCTCCTTTACCTAGATTTTAGAAACTACGTCTTATTGATTCCTTCTCACATGCCAGGTATCATATTAAGTCTCTTGCATGTAATTATCACATCTTTCATCACAACCAACCTAAGAGGAAGGTATTAACCTGAGTATAGGAGTAAAGAATCTTACCAAAATGCACATAGCTAATGGCTGATAGAGTTGGGTTTGGAACCCAGGCCTATTGGATTCCAAAGCTCCTATTCTTCATCATGCCTGGAAACCCTACTCATCTTTAAGCCCCAGCGTGAATCCTAGCTTTTTCTGTCTAAGCCCAACTCTCCAACAGAAGGTCCATTCTCCTCCTTGGCCTTTCTGAAACTAGCACTATGGATATTTTGGTAGCGATTTTCTTCACCCCTTCACTAGAAGTGGTTAGGTTGTAGGTGCCCAGTTCACATGTCCCAAGGCATCCAGCACTGTACTTTTCTCATGGTCAAGGCTCAAGTTGATGGAATATGAGTGAAATTTTCTTCCTCTGCCATGGCTTATCACAGCAGTAGAGCTGTGCCATCTCAGGATGGAAGGGGGAACAGGAGCTCTGGCCAAGATAACTCAGGAACTACGTGGACAGGCTTTGCCTTTGTCAGATTCCAAGAATCTAATTAATTAATTTTGAGCAAATCAGCAACTCATTGGATTTGTTAAATCATCTTGGATTTTTTTCATACCTCGGTTTTATAACATCTGGGTTAAATAGCACAAAAATGGATACCTGGTAATTAGAGACCTTTAGCTCTCAGGAGAAGGTTTTAACTCCTCTATTTTATCAGGGAGGAAACTGAAGACTTAAGAGGGTTTCATGAGTTGCTTCAGGCCACAGAGCAAGCTAAGGGCAGGCCTGTAACTACGGATCTCTCGACTCCTAGCCGATTATCTTCTATATTGATGGCCTTGAGCTTGGAGGTCATGTGCTCCGTCTTCCCACCCAGCTTAGGGATCCCTACAGTATCCCTGACTGATGTCAACAGGCGCTGCTTGTGAGCGTGGAAGAGGAACTCTTTATCTTTGGGAGCAATGTATTCCATTTTAAATTAAAGAGTGTCTTCTCCTGTATTGAACCCAATAGAACGTCACAGTCGTGTCTGTTGCTCTAACACCAGAGTTTCCTAGGGCTCCCTTTTTGAAACTGGCCTCTTTTCCATCCACATGAACTTCTTCTGTGATCCTATCAGTCCCAAGGCTTCAAACACATCCATACATTGAGGACTGTCAAATTTGTACCTCTAGACCCACCTTCTCCTCTAAACTCTAGACCCTTGTACATCCACCTCCTGGATCTCTCCCTGTGGATGGCTAGTAGTCATCTCAGAGTTAATACCAAAAAACAAGGTCTTAGTTATCCTCTCCCACCAAAGAGTTCTCCCTACCCCCCAGTCTTTGTCTCGTGAGACTTTATTTTTCCAATTGCTCGGGCCAGAAACCTGAAGTCATCCTGATGCGTCTTACTCTCTTTCATTGTACAACTAAAGCATCAGCTACCCTACTGCCCTTACTTTAAAATTGCTTCCAGAATCCAACAAATTCTTGCCAACTCCACTGCTCCCATTGTGGTCCAGGCTATCCTTCTCACTTGCACAGACAGCTTTCCCACCACCCTGTCTTGCTCCTCAACAGTCTGTTCTCACAGCAGCAGGAACATAAATCAAAATGCACCATGGTCTGCAAGCTCCTCACTGTCATCTGCCTTCTTTCTGACTTTAGCCTCTACTCCTCTCCCTCTCACTCAGTCTTCTCTAGGGACCGTGCCTCCTTACTGTTCCTCCAACATGCCCCATGAGCTCCCACCTCCAACCCATTGTATTTGTACTTGCAGTTCCCTCTGATTAAAACACTCTTCCCTCTGCCCTGCCCACCCACACTCACTCCCTCAACTGCCTTCACTTCTATACCCACCTTATCAGGGGAGATTCTGCCAACCACTCTCTCCCCAATATATTATCCCAACCCTCTGATTAATTTGTATCCATAGCATTTATGACTTTCTGACAAACTATGCATTTCCGTGTTTGTTTTTTTATCCTTCTCACAAAATAGTGAGCTCAATGAAAGCTGGAATTTTCTTTTATTTTTGTTGTTTCCTAAGCATCTAGAATAGTGTCTGCAAAATGTAGGTGCAATAAATAAATACTTGTTAAATGAATTTCTCCTTCACCTTGGCCGTTTAGCCAGGTCTTATACTCGAACTGTGTTGTCTCTAGAACCCATGTTCAGGAATTTGCCTTTGTTCCAATAAATAGCCTAATTTTAGTTTGGGACCATTAGGCAAAGTTGGCAGAACCTTTCTGACTCTGGATTTTTGCTATTTTATTTTCAACTATGATAATTACTAATATTAGCCACAGTTACCATTTTACTGAACTCTTACATGGCTATCACTCTCTCAAGTATTTTCCAATATCGTTTCAGTTAATCCTTACAGTGACTCAGTGGGAAATGCTACTATTCCTCATTTTACAGATGAGAGAAGTGAAGAGGTTTAAACAACTTCCTCCAGCTCTTACAATCAGTGAATGGCAGAGCAGAGCCGCGCTTCAAAGCCACGTGTCTCTGATTCTAATGTACTGTGGTGATCAAGAGCGCAGCCTCTGGGGGCAGAGAGATCAGGGTCAGCGCTGACTGACCACAGCTGTGTGATGTTGCTCAAGTCATTTTCCCCTCTTGAGCTTCGGGTCCCCATCTCGTAAATGAAGACAACAGTAAACCAGGGTTGTTAGGATGATTAGATGAGATAACTCTGGTCACATGCCTCAGTGCCGTCCTAGCACAGAGTAAAAGCCCAGTAAGTATTGCCACAATGGTAACATAATTAATAAGACTAAAATTTTCATAATTATTTTGCTACTATTGGATAATGCAAATCGTCTTAATGCTATTCTATCCCACCTCTATCTATATGAGTTCTTGCTTCAATCTGTATAATCTAAAAATTTGATAATGTCATCTTAATATAAACCCCTGATTAAAAGTGTGGAAGGATGTAGAGGTAAGGCTAAACCTTTACACAGGGAGAGATTCACCACGAAACTGCCTGAGCTTTGTTTGACTGCAACGAGGTAACAGTATGGCACCTTCTAGAAACATAGCTTAGTTTTACCGGTCTGTTCTGCTCACCTGAAAAAAGGCTAGCAGAGCTTTACTTTCCTCATCTAGGGATTTTTTACTTTCCTCACCTACTGGGACTAAATGACGTGTTAGGAAACCTAAGAAGGAACTCCGACGTCTACCACTTTGGGCAGACTGGTCTCCAGTTAGCTCTCTTTTTAGCAGTGCTGGAGGCAAGCTGGATGCTTGGCACTTCTAAAAAGAAGTGGAGAGGGGCAACCTGCTATTTCTGTGAATGCTCTTCATTGCTTGGTATCACAGGCAATGATGAAACGACCAGTAGCAGTTGCTACTATGTGTTGACTACTTACCGTATGCCAGGCACTGTGCTTGGTGCTGTACAAAATCTCACTTAATCTGCACAACAACTTTGTATACTGGATGTTACCGCTATTTTCGAGAAGCAGAAACTGTGCAGAGTGGGTATTAGTAGGTGCAGTTGGTGTCCCATCCAGATCTCCTTTACTGGGCTGGGGTACTATGTCAGTTACCAATTTGTGCCTCAGCTCCTAAAGCACTTACGCTCTGTGCTAACGGAATTCCAGTAGAGGGCGCGAGAGGGACACTGTGGGAGGAAGCTGCTCTTAGACCTATTGGTGGCGTGAGTGGGAGGACATCCGGTGAAGCCTGCCCCAGCATCGAGCCCAAACCACAGGCCCTCTGCAAACCTGCAGCCTTAGCCTAGCCATAACCTGTCCACAGCCCTCGTGACACAAAAACCAGAGCCACGCATGACTTGCGCCCTCCCTCCTCCTCTTGCCAGCACCCGGACCTCCATCACTCACACCCATGGTATCAGCTGTTGATCACCTGCTCCTCGCTTGCACTCTCATCTAGAGTGGCGGCCTGTTGCTTGCCCAACAGCCCAGACCATCTGCAGCCTGGCCATACCAGCAGACTTCACTGCTATTTGGTGAGCTGAACCACACTTCCTTCAAGTTTGTCCCTCCTTGGATTCTCTCTCTCAGCCCTAGGTTACTATATGATTACTCTTTTACCGTAGTTAGTAATTATTTATATAAAACATTTCCCGGGCTGGTCCAGTGGCGCAGCAGTTAAGTTCACACGTTCTGCTTCTCAGCGGCCGGAGTTCGCCGGTTCGGATCCCGGGTGTGGACATGGCACGGCTTGGCAAAACTATGCTGTGGTAGGTGTCCCATGTATAAAGTAAAGGAAGATGGCACGGATGTTAGCTCAGGGCCAGTCTTCCTCAGCAAAAAAGAGGAGGATTGGCAGCAGTTAGCTCAGGGCTAATCTTCCACAAAGCAAAACAAAACATTTCCCGTTTAACTTACCGTATGATTTTTGTATCCAGATTGGATCCAGACTGCTATAGACCCATCCCATAGCTGCTACAAGTACTGGCTGTGTAACTCGCAGCTGCCCCCTTCCTTAGATAATTGCCCTCAGCCAATGGCAACTGCCTTGCCCAGGAGGTTAGTAGCCTCCCCGTTTCTCCCCCTCCACCTGTGGGCCAGAGCCAATGGCTAACCCACAAGAGCCAGCTCCTTGGACTTTAGGCAGAGATAATTCTGTGGTACACTTTTCCTTCCAGAACTCTCCTGTGGATCAGGTCAAGGTGAATTTTTACCAGAAACCGTGTTCATTCTCAGCTCTCTTTCCTCTTCTCAATCCTGCTCCCCTTAATCCTTTATAGGCTTTTCCTTTGAGTACTCCCTCAATAAATTGGGTATATTCTAACCCTTGTCTCAGGCTCTTCATTTAGGGAAACTGATCTCAGACATGTACCAACACCACAGAGTTAGAAGATAATGAAGCTGGTAATTGTGCTAGGTCTGACTCCAAATCCTGTGCTCTTAACCATCACTTTCTCATTGTTGAAGCAATCTCCCACCTCCAACATGCTCTTGCTAACTCAATGTCTCTGTGCTGAGCCATCTTGGCTTTGAGGATGGTCTGTCATTGGTTCAGAGTGAAGTCTGTGATTACTGGTTCAGCAATATCCAAGGGCTGTGCCCACTGTTACGAGAGGTCCACATGCCCATTATCTGCTCCACACACCCTCTGTTTTTATTGCCTTGGGCCTGTATCTCTTCCTCCTCTCTCTTCTCCAAAGACTGTAGGCCGACATTCTGATTGGAGTTCTACCCTCCTAGTTCCCCAAAGTGACTTTGCTTGTTTAGTTAAATCATGCTGCTCTTCTCCCATCTTGTTTATTTGGGGTAGACAAGTTCTCTATGCCCTGGGAGTTGTGCACTGGCATTCACTAAGGTTCAGAAACTAAGATGACAGCTTGACACTTGACTGCCTTTTAGGTAAATACTAGTTTTTAGTGGGGACCATAGCAGCAGGTTTATTTATAACTCCTGCCACCACACACCGGCACTTAATGGGGTGGAGCAGGGAGGCAGTTGAAAGGCTGCTTAGGGACCTAGGGGAACCAGGAGGACCTAGATTTACTAGAGCTTGTGTGTGTCAATCTTGAAAGATAATTGGGTCAACACTGCATGAGAACAGCTTGTTTCAGCCCATTCCGTTTCCAGATGCTCTAACATATAGTGAAAGATTCAGCAGATAAGTCAACAACTCTTGGATTTAATTGTCTCTTTTCCATGATCCTAACATATATTTTGGTCTTGTGGTTTGTGCTTTGACCACCACATGCAAACCCCTTTGTGGATTTCTCAGCCTAGTCAATGCCCCCTAGTCAACTCCGAGCGACTCCTGTGTTCCCATTTGGTAGTAATTACTTGACAGTTACACACTTCTTCTCTCTCTTCCTCAGTCAACAAGCAACTAATAAATAAACAACTGGTGTTCTCATTAGTAGGCTCTCCTTTCTTCAGAGGGCCAATCTATTCCACTTTATAAGGTGGCTTCACTTTCTCCAGCATTGCCACATTTTCATTGTGGCTGGATGAAGTAACAGCTGTAGCTAATTCAGTCACATTTTTTAGTTGTCCCGCAGTTAGTGAAATTATTAGCCATCCCTACAGAGTGTCAGCAACTGCAAATAGAAATGAGTCTTTGCAGACAACCGAATCCAACCGGGAATTGAGAAATTAATAGAAATTTAGAACAATGGGCATGCTTGCAATGAACCATTTATAGGTTCAGACACCTAGTTCCTCTGGTAATTTGAATGAGCAGTTTTACTAATAAAATCTGTCTGTGTTTAGTGAACTTACTAGATCTATCTGTCATTCACAAACAACTTGAATTATCACCTTCCCATCAAATTTTGCCCTTTTCCTTAGCTTGCTGCCTCTCAGAGTGGATTTTCTCCAATGCAGGCAAGGGGATGGAGGGAGAAAGAAGTAGAAAGTGCTTTTAGCCCCAGCTGAGGCAGGCTGGCCTCCATCTATGTCAGGGATGAAGCGTGTTTATTTTATGCAGATAACATTGGATGAAATTCAAGTGGTGCCACATTTATTTGACAGGGCAGATATTCTCAATAGACGTTCCCAGTTACGATCAATATCTGCTGGTGGTCCTTGACTCCTCTCCCTACTAGATCGATAAGTGCCATCACCCCCATTGCTCTGACCTCAGTGGATTGTAACTTCAGGAACGTGAGCAGATGTCACTGGCAGGTTCAACATTTTAACAGTCTTGGTAATTCCTCACACCAGGAAAGCGTTTTAGAGTTTGCCTGCCACCCTTATTTACATGGTCTTAGGCCTTTTGTAAAACTTCTCTAGTGGGACAGAAATGCCTGTCTCTCAAGGAAACATGAAGTGCTGCCCAGTCACAACCCATCAGGAGCCCCTTTTGTGTTCTTTGCAGTTTCCCCAGCAGTCAGAGTGCTGTTCTCAAGGAAACAGTTGTCAACAGGATTGATTTTTCCATTTGGCCCCTGGGATCGTGGCAGCGTGGCAGCAGGCCAGGTCCGGGGCGCTGAGGGCCTCTGGGAAGCGGGAGGAAGAAGCCTGGGATCTCAGAGGGCAGCCAAACAGCCTGGAAGCATGGCTTTGAAGCAGGTAAAGCAGAGTGGTGAAGAGCTCCAATGAGGTTCTCCACCACGTTGCAGCTGTGTGAGGGGAGAGAAAATATTTAATATCTCTGAGACCATTTCTTCATCTTTCAATAGAGAATGCTGACAGGACGCACCCCCTGAGGTTATTGCGAGAATTAATTTAATGAAGGATTCATGTAAATCTTAGTGCAGTCCTTTGTAGAAGGCTAATATTTTTTGCTTGTGTACAGTTATCATCACTGCTAATTCAGGTTGAGAGGAAATCACCTGCTTTTGTTGAAAAGCATTCTATTTTAGTTTATTTAACTAATGTGGCTAAGGAAATTTCACCTTACATTTATACAGTTTATAAAAATCTGTCACATGCAAACTTTTAAAGCAGGTGACCATTTTGTGAGCAGGTAAGTACAGGTCTATACTCGCCTGTATTTGTACCTCTATGCATCCACATTGCTTTCTGGAGGCAAACATTTGAAGAGCTTGCAAAGTTTGTCTATAGTATATGAGGTCTTTTCCTTTATAGCCAATTTTATTTTTTACTTTGTTCATCAAAACCCTTTTCCAGGAAAAATACATACTTGTTTATGTATTTAACAAATACTTATATGTTTTTTACTAAATGCCAGGCGCGTTTTAGGTCCATTACAAACATTAACTCGCTTAATCCTTATTACTACACTGTGAAGTCAGTTCTGTTATTATCCCCATTTGACAGATACGTACACTGAGGCACAAGACAATGAAGCAAGTTGCTCCAGATCCTCTAGGTAGTGAGCTGACCAGCTAGGATTCTAACCCAGGCAGGCTGACTTCAGAGTCTCTGCTCGTAGGTACCAGGCTAGGCCAATCTAGCCCATTTGTAATGTCGGGGCTTTTGAATGACAGGAGTTAGGATTAATTAAATTGTTCTGTGTGTCCGTCAACAGGGAATTTCTGGGTTGACATACAGTCGCCTCATTTAGTAGGTTCAGCACTGTGGCATTAGCCAGGAATTCTCCCTCTGCACAAGGCCACGCAGATAAGGAGTTAAGGACATGTGTCACAGATATCAGGAGCCCCTGGAGTTGAGTGAATTAAGCCGTTCTCTCCATGAATCCAAACTAGATGCTGAGGCCCTTGACGTTCTGAATCTCCTGAGGAGTCCCTGTCAGTGACTCACGGCAGTGCTCCTCAGCAAATGGAAGTTTGTCTTCAACAAATAGGAGAAGGCTTATACACCGAGACTAGGATTTTATCATTTATATTTTTTTCTTCTGATAAGTAAACTCTGAATTTTGAGAAATTTTAAAACTCCACTAAGCATAATAAACCCCATGGACTTAAGAGAGAATTTTTATGCTTCACCTGGCTCATGGATGCTTTTGAAGAAGTTGATGGACTTGGAGGTCTTCCCTCGGTGATGGTTATTCCTGACCCATCGACTGTGGGCTGCGTTTGCAGTACTATCTGACCGTGTTTTCAGTTTGAAAATTACCATGGGCTTTCCCCGCTGCGCTTTCTCCTGGTTTTCCTCCTCTGTCACTGGTGGCTCCTTCCCAGCTGCTTTGTGACGTCTGAGACTCATGAAGTCCAAGTGCTCCAGAACTCAGCCTTTGTACAGATCATGTCACTCCTCTGCTCGAAATGCTAGAATGGCTCTTTGTCCAAAGTCCTTGCATTAAGACCCTTTGTCATCCGGTCCTTTATTCGATCTGGCCTAATTGCCTATTGTATTAGTTTGCTAGAGCTGCTGGAACCACAAACTGGATGGCTTAAACAGAAATTTATCGTCTCAGTTTTGGAGGCTGGGAGTCTGAAATCAAGGCGTCAGAGGGCTGTGCTCTGGGGCAGGATGTGTTCCAGGCCTGTTCCAGGCTTCTGGTAATTCCCTGGCTTGTGGCAGCATCACTCCCATCTTTACATGGTGTTCTCCCCGTGTGTACTTCTCTGTCCAAATTTCTCCCTTTCTATAAGGACACTAGTCCTACTACTGGAGTAGGGGCCCACCATACTCCATCCAGTATGGCCTCATCTTAATCTACTACATCTGCAGTGGCTCTATTTCTGAATAAGGTCACAGTGTGAGGTTCTGGGAGTTACGACTTCAGCATATGAATTTTGGGGGCA